AATGTTTGTTTTACACTTTTTATTCTAAATATTATTCTTTTCAGTAGGAAAGACAAAAACATGTTACCCATTAATCATTATACCATGAATTTCAGCAAAGGGTCATTTCCTTATAAAATTTGCCTATTTACAGTTTATCCTCTTAAAGTGTACAATTCAATGAGTTTTAGTATATTCATAAAGTGTGCAACCATCATCACTGTCTAATTTTAGAATATTTTTGTCACACTAAAAAGAAATCATGTGCCCATCAGTAGTCACTCCCCATTCTCTCCCAAATTAACTTCCCAGCCCTAGGCAACTACTAATTTTCCTTATGTGTGTATAAATTTGCTTATTTTGAACATTTATGCAAATGGACTCATGCAATATGTGGTCTTTTGTGATTGGCTTCTTTCATTTAGCGTAATGTTTCCAAGGTTCTTGATGGTGTGGGATGCACCAGTACTTCTTTCCTTGTAATTGTTGAATAATACTTCATTTTGTGGATATACTACATTTTATTTATCCATTCACCAGTTGGTGGACACTTGTGTTTCTACCTTTTTTCTCTTATGAATAACAACATGATAAGCATTTGTGTTCAAGTTTTTGTGTGGACATATGTTTAGTTTCTCTTGGGTATATACCTAGAAGTAGAACTAAGTTTATACCTAGCAGCTGAGTCATATAAGGTATGTTTAATCTTTTGAGCAACTGTCAAAGTGGCTGCAGTATTTTACATTCTCAACAGCAGGTTATGTGTTTCTATTCCTCCACAGTTTCCGCAACAGTTACTATTGTCTATTGTTTTTTATTATAGCTATCCTGGTAGATATGAAAAGTTATCTCATTGTGACTTTAATTTGTATTTCCCTGCTGGCTAATGATGTTAGTCATCTTTTCCTGTTTATTAGTCATTTATTTATTTGGGGGGAGAAACTTCCGTTTAAAACCTTTGCCAGGGGTGCCTGGGTGGCTCAGTGGGTTGAACAGCTGCCTTCGGCTTGGGTCATGGTCTCAGGGTCCTGGGATAGAGCCCCGCATCGGGCTCCCTGCTCAGCGGGGAGGCTGCTTCTCCCTCTCGCTCTGCCTGCTGCTCTGCCTACTTGTGCTCTCTGTCTGTCAAATAAATAAAATCTTAAAAAAAAAACAAAGCCTTTGCCAGTTTTTAAATTGGGTTGAAATTTTTTTTAAAGATTTTATTTATTTATTTGACAGAGAGAAATAATGAGAGAGAGAACACAAGCAGGGTGAGTGGGAGAGGGAGAGGCAGGGTTCCCACTGAGTGGGGAGCCTGATGCCAGGCTCGATCCCAGATCCCTGGGATCATGACCTGAGCCAAAGGCAGACGCCCAGTGGCTGAGCCACCGAGGCGCCCCTGTATTGTATTTTTATTATTGAATTGTAGGAGGGTTTTTAAAAAAAAGATTTTGTTATTTATTTATTTGTTTGTTTAGAGAGGGTGCACGTGAGTAGGGGGAGGGGCAAAGGGAGAGGGAGAGAGAATCTCAGGCAGACTCCTTGCTGAGCATGGAGCCTGTCCTGCAGTTTGATCTTATCATCCTGAGATCATGACCTGAGCCAAAGTCAAGAATCAGAGGCTTAACTGACTGAGCTACCAGGTGCCCCTGTAGGAGTTCTTATATATTCTCTATATAAGTCCCTTATCAGATACATGATTTATAAATATTCTTTCTATTCTGTGGCTTGTCTTCACTTTCTTGATGGTATCCTTTGAAGCAGAAAAGTTTTTAATTTTGAAGACCACTGATTTATCTGTATTTTTCTTTTGTTGCTTATGCATTTATTGTCATATCTAAGAAGCAATTGCCTAATAAAAGAGCTGCCTTGATGTTACATTCTTTTTGTTTTGTTTTGTTTTTGGTAAATATTTTATTTATCTATTTGGGAGAGCAAGAGAGAGCATGGGGTGAGGGGAGGGGTGGAAGGACAGAAGGAGGCAGGCTACCTGCTGAGCAAGGAGCCCGATGCAGGACTCCAACCCAGGACCTTAGGATCATGACCTCAGCTGAAGGCAGATGCTTGAATGCCTGAGCTACCCAGGTGTCCCAGATGTTAGATTAATTTTTAAAATTATCTTTCCCTCTCTTCCTATTAACTAGTTCTCCATTAGAATATTGTGTGTGTTAAGAGTGCAAACTATGAAGTCAGAATGACTGGATTTGAATATTGGTATTACTGTTGATGACTCCATAACCATTAGAAGTGACTTCTTTAAATCTCAGTTTCTTCATCTGAAAAAAATGTGAACATTACTGGGGTGCCTGGTTAGCTCAGTTGGTAGAACATGGGACTCTCGATCTTAGGGTTGTGAGTTCAAGACCCACACTGGGTGTAGAGTCTACTAAATTTTTTTTTAAAAATGGGAATATTACTTTTTACCTCAAAATTTTTGTTGACAATTAGAATGCTTAGCATAGAGTCTTATACATAGATAGCACTTGATAATTGGTAGATGTTATTACTAGGAATCTTATTTGAGTTAAGTATAATTTTTGCTTAAATAAAAATATTTTACTAGAAAGATGTCTTTTTTGACTTTGTATCCACAGTTGTAACTTGCTCATGGTAGAAGTTTAAAGAATATCTATTAATTTAATTGATACATGAAATATAGTAGCCCATTACATTAAGTGAGCTATGATGTATTTGAGCTTACTAAGGAGCTAAGTAAAAAGAGAAGAGAAAACTAGAAGTAAGTATCACCCACTTCATTTGGGCTTGGGTTAGCCCTTGCAGAAAAGAAAGATGGGAAGATTATGTTTCAAAAGATATTTCAGGGGCGCCTGGGTGGCTCAGTGGGTTAAAGCCTCTGCCTTCGGCTCAGGTCATGATCCCAGGGTCCTGGGATCGAGTCCCGCATCGGGCTCTCTGCTTGGCGGGGAGCCTGCTTCCTCCTCTCTCTCTCTCTGCCTGCCTCTCTGCCTACTTGTGATCTCTGTCAAATAAATAAATAAAATCTTTAAAAAAAAAAGATATTTCAAGGGGGAATAGTGCTAAAGATACAAAAAGCAGGGTACTAATACAGAGAGTAAAATGGAAAGGTAAATCCCCAAATGGGAATTTGGTCAGTGGCAGAAGACATTTTAGAAGAGTACCAAGAGTGAAAAGTTCTTATATCAAGAGCAGCAGACTGATTTGGCATGGTTGTTTCTTGAACAATTTGAGATTTGTTCTTGACTGAGACAAGAGTCCTTTGTCCAAAGGCATTCTCTTATCACTTGGTGAGACTGTCATTAGTCCTCTCGCCCTTATTAGATAGATATATGATTAGAGGCCTCAGAACACTCCCTGAGACCTTATAGTAGGGATTTCTGAACCAGAAATCGACCTGTGTTTTTTATTTGTTTATTTAGTACTTTAAGCAAAGTGGTTAGAACCTGCCTCCAATTTAATAGTTTCCTAGCAAAACCTACCTCTGTTTAATGATGTCCCTTCTTCTACTCCACACTATGGTGAACAAATGAATCCTATATTAACCTCCTATGAATAAGTGAATCACATATTTAAATCACTGAACCTATGATCCAAATGATCCAAATTATGTTATCAGTAAATATTTTGTAGAGTGTATGAAACTATGTTTAGATGAAAGCTAAGATGAAATATTCTCCTTCTGCTTTCTCCTTACTATAATCCTTGTCCAAATTTTACCAGTTCTTCCGAATATTGTTCAAATGACAGGCAGTGTATATTTTTTTGTGTGCAAATAATTTGAGATTCTGGCATTCAGGTCATTTTTCCTGCTGTATTACAAGCTCCTGGAAATCTGGGTCTGTCTCTTATTTGTCTTTGTATCTTCTGTAGCACAATGCTTTACACAGAGTTGATATATAAACATAAGTATATTAAATGAATCATGTAATTTAATATATTTCTGGTGGGAATTTTTGGTACAGAATATTTCAGATGTTACTATTAAATGTGAGATATTAACAGCCCATTCTCTTCACAGCTTTTCTTGGTATTACTAAAAATTTACTGATTGCTTTAATATGCAGTCTCTCTTTGCCATCACAGGCTTTTATCCCTAAATGGGGCAAGTGTAAGCAGACCTCCTTTTTCTTCCTTACTTTTCTCTCCTTTTTTTCTGTTCCATTTCTCTCTTGCAGCTCCGTTTATCTTTTCACCATTCTCTCTATTTTTTATTATTCCTGTCTCTTCCTCTTACAATTCCTAATACTTTGTTTCCTTGTCACCTGCTCTTTCTATTTTTGTTCTTTCTGCTTGGCTTTCTCCTCCACTTGTCACCACCTCTTTCCTTGTCCTCAAGATACAGAGCAGGATTGGGTAGGGAGGAGCCCAGCAGAGCTGGGGGTGGAGCCACCTGTTCTGTGCTTCAGGATTCAGAACCTGAGAAGGATCGGGCTGCGTAAGCATAGCTGGGGCAGAAGTCCCCATGGCCTTCCTGCTGGAGGCTAGCATTCTGGAGGACAATTGGGACTTGGTGAGATTATAAGTTGTCCTTTTCTTTTTGCTCCCCCTTTCTTCCTCCTTGTTCTGTACTTTTCACTCACAGTATCTCTTTACTACTTCTTCCTATTTCTTTACTCCTTACTATTCTATTTTTTCTCTCTCTAGTTATCAGTCAACTCTATTTAGTATTTGTTTACTTTTCCTTGTACCTGTTCTTTTCACGCATGTCTGTTCTCTCAAAATTTAACTTTTCCTTCCTCTTCTCCATTTTATTCTTTTCTTTTTAAATATTCTCGTCCAACTCTCTTTTCTGTCCACCTCTCTACCTCTTTTTGTTTTCTGTCCACCTCTCTGCTCTTTTTATCATATTGTTTCCTAGAGATGGAGCAATAAGAGAGGAAACAAGGAACCACCCTGCCTTTCCAGAGGCCTTTCTGCTCCGTCTCAGACTTGTAGGGTATTTTGATTAGGCACTGAAGAGTTTGTGCTCTGCACAGACAGTTAATAAACAGTGAAATTGGAGTAAGGTTGAATATTAAATGTTAAAGTTTTGATTTTATTCTCTTTTATGTTTTGTTTAGGTTTTTTCTGCAATACAGTGGATACAATTTGTTATGGCTACTCTGAGGTAAATTTATTTAATCTCATGTACTATGACTGTTTTAACCAGTAAAAGCAAAACTGTAGAATTCTAAAGTTTCCTGCATATTTTCCCCTGGGTATTTGCTTTTACTCTTTAGGAAGAAATGCTGTTCTTTACCATGTTGATATTTTCTGATTAATAAAATGTAACATCAACAATAACAAAAAAACAGATTGAGTAATAACATCTGAAAATCAAAGGACTTGGTCAGCAGGACTGATTTGCAAAATCAGTAGGAATGATACAGAGATTAGCATGTCCCCTATGCAAGCGTGACACACAAATTCATGAAGCTTTCCATATTTTAGAAAAATGTGTGGTTTCTTTTTTATCTGTTATATATCAGTAAAGCTGTAAAAAAATCATTAGCAAAAATGAGGGAGCCCTAGTAGTCTTCTTCTAATTATTATCTTTTATCTCTGTCAGTGTTATCGGTTCAAGTTCATTTATTGCCTATGCCGTATTCCAGAATATACAGAAATCTCCAGAGGTGAGCAAACTCTTTTTTGTGTTGGATTTGAACTTTTTTAGTGACTTAGCCTTTGAAATAAATAAGAGAAGTATCACCTATAAATAATGGAATAAGTCTATGAATTACTTGTAAATTTGTCATTATGTTACATTGAGATATTTTAGACACAGTCAATAGGTTTCCCTTTTCTTCTAGGTAATTATTTTAACTATAACTTTGAATAGTGAGAGATTGGCTACTAAAAGTACAATTTTTTTGCTATGCATTAATTATTAAAGTTAGGAAATAGAGTTGTTTGAAGCCTCTAGTCACTCTAAGCACAGTATGATCCTGCCAAGAGGTGAGTTTTCTGATATTGATATCTTAGCAATATTGCTAGTGGGGCTAAGAAATAGCTCAGACTTTGTTTCCAGAAAATATTAGGTTTGCTGTTCAGGCCTTCTAGGCAATTACAATTTAATGGTAAAAACAGAACAAAAATATATCCTAGGTAAAATTATTCATACCAAAAAGATCAAGTAAAAATATTTTCCTTTTTTTGAGGTGTAATTGACAAACAAAAATTATATATATTTAAGGTATAAACAAACAAAAAAACCTTCCTGATTGAGAGAGGACTAGGAAGAGAGAGTATTTCCTAGCTATGAAATAAAAATGTAACAACACTTTCTCTCACTAGGCCAAATGGCACAAAATTAGACAAAATATAGTTCACATATATAGGAGGGCTTTTGTATGTGGAAAATGTGATTGGGTTTTTATTGGGCCCACTTTCCTAATCAGAGTAATTCCGTATGTTGAACACTTTCTGAGCTCCAAGTATGCTGGGTGCTTTACAGACTTTATCTATTGGCTTTCATCACTTTCCCATGGGAACGATGGTATTAGCTCCATTTCACAGATGAGGAAATTAAGGCTCAAAGTCATGAAGTAACTTGTTGAAATTTTATAGTAAGTAGCAGAACAGAGATTTTCAAAAGTCTCTTAACTACAGTCCCCTTTCAAATTAAACACAGTGTTTAGTATTTATTTTATTCTAGACAGATGTGCTTAGTGTTTTTTTTTTTAAGATTTTATTTATTTATTTGACAGACAGAGATCACAAGTAGGCAGAGAGGCAGGCAGAGAGAGAGGGGTGGGGGAGACAGAGAGAGAGAGAGAGAGGAGAAGCAGGCTCCCTGCTGAGCAGAGAGCCCGATGCGGGACTCGATCCCAGGACACTGGGATCATGACCTGAGCTGAAGGCAGAGGCTTTAACCCACTGAGCCACCCAGGCGCCCTGCTCAGTGTTTTAAATACATTTTTCATTTAATCCTTAAAACAACTCTGTGAGGTAAAGGGGAACCCTCCTACACTGTTGGTGGGAATGCAAGCTGGTGCAACCACTCTGGAAAACAGCATGGAGGTTCCTCAAAATGTTGAAAATAGAACTACCCTATGACCCAGCAATTGCACTGCTGGGTATTTACCCTAAAGATACAAACGTAGTGATCCGAAGGGGCACGTGCACCCGAATGTTTATAGCAGCAATGTCTACAATAGCCAAACTATGCAAAGAACCTAGATGTCCATCAACAGACGAATGGATAAAGAAGATGAGGTATATATACACAATGGAATACTATGCAGCCATCAAAAGAAATGAAATCTTGCCTTTTGCGACGACATGGATGGAACTAGAGGGTATCATGCTTAGCGAAATAAGTCAATCGGAGAAAGACAACTATCATATGATCTCCCTGATATGAGGGAGAGGAGATGCAACATGGGGGGTTAAGGGGGTAGGAGAAGAGTAAAGGAAACAAGATGGGATTGGGAGGGAGACAAACCATAAGTGACTCTTAATCTCACAAAACAAACTGAGGGTTAATGGGGGGAGGGGGGTTGGGGGGGTGGGATTATGGACATTGGGGAGGGTATGTGCTATGGTGAGTGCTGTGAAGTGTGTAAACCTGGCGATTCACAGACCTGTACCCCTGGGGATAAAAATATATTATATGTTTATGAAAAATAAAATAAAAAATAAATAAATAAATAAATAAATAAATAAACAACTCTGTGAGGTAGATATTACTAATCTGATATTATAGTGAAGAAATGGAATCCTGGTAAGGTCGAGGGACTTTCCTAAGATCTTATATATAGCCAGTAATTTGTTAGAGCTAGAATTTGAGTACAGGATTGTCTTGTTCCAAAGCCATTCTCCATATATGCTTTTTAAGCCGCTGAAATATGGTATGTAATGAAAATAGGATTTTGGGGGCGCCTGGGTGGCTCAGTGGGTTAAAGCTTTGGCTCAGGTCATGATCCCAGGGTCCTGGGATTGAGCCCCGCATCGGGCTCTCTGCTCAGTGGGGAGCCTACAACCTCCTCTCTCTCTCTGCCTGCCTCTCCACCTACTTCTGATCTGTCTGTCAAATAAATAAATAAAATCTTTAAAAAAAAAAAAGAAAAAGAAAATAGGATTTTGAATTTCAGGCATAGACTCTGACTATGTAAGTAACTAGAAAGTAGAAGTCCTGGTACTGTGTTGTCATTGCCTGCCAAAGTAATCTTAGGCCACATATCTTTCTGTGATTCAGATTTCCCTAATGTTTGTCTCCTTTGCTGAAATTTGAATCCATAGGTGATTAAGTTAATGAAGTATAAGTTACATAGTAGGACAGCTAAGCAGAGATTCTCAGTCTCTGCATTATTTATCTGTTGGACTGGACGATTATTTGTTGTAGGGGGCTGTCTGCACCTTCAGATGCTTTGCAGACTTTACCCACTAGATGTTAGAAGCAAACCACCTCCCCATACATCTGAGGTTGTAAAAACCAAAATATGTTTACATTTATTGCCAGATATCTCCTGGGGGAGACAAAATTGCTCCTGGCTCAGTGACCACTCAGGTCACTGCTCTAAGGTGACCTCTGGCATGACAGTGGGTTAGAGCTTTATAACGATGTAGGATCTACTTTGGCCTAGGATGTGACCTTTAGTTTCTCTGGCTTCAGTTCCCATACCTTTCACATAACCAGAGCTTAAAGGACCTTAACAACCACTAGTTCACTGGTTCCCACACATTCTGTTTTCTTGGTGTAGGAAAAATTCCAATTTTTCCAGATTAAGAATATCAGCCATCCTCCAGTTTTCCTTTTTTGTCCATTAAAGAATTTTTTTAAAGATTTTATTTATTTATTTGACAGAGATCACAAGTAGGCAGAGAGGCAGGCAGAGAGAGCAGGGGAAGCAGGCTTCCCGCCGAGCAGGGAGCCTGACATGGGGCTCGATCCCAGGACCCTGAGATCATGACCTGAGCCGAAGGCAGAGGCTTAACCCACTGAGCCACCCAGGCACCTTTAAAGAATATTTTTAATCACAAAAAACACATGGAAGTCATAATCTGAAAAAGACCAAAATAGTTTATTAAATTAAAATAAATGTAGTAAATTGGAGAAATCCATAGGGAATCTTTGAGGTGATTAACTGATGAAACAGTGACTCAGAAAGGCTAACTGAAGAGAGAAGGTGGCCAGACTAGCCAGTGTTAAATAATACTCAGGGCAGATATACTTTATTACACACTTATGTGACTTCATTTCCCCATAAAGATCACTTTTTTTTTTTTAAAGGATTTTATTTATTTATTTGACACAGAGAGAGAGAGAGATCACAAGTAGGCAGAGAGGCAGACAGAGAGAGGGGGAAGCAGGCTCCCCACCAAGCAGAGAGCCTGATGTGGGGCTCGATCCCAGGACCCTGGGATCATGACCTGAGCCGAAGGCAGAGGCTTTAACCCACTGAGCCACCCAGGCGCCCCAAGATCACTTTTGATATTCTTTGTAACCTGATTTCATTTGAATAGAAATATTGGGAAGCAGGATTTTAGAAGAGTATTCATATGAATACTATTTTAGGTCTTTCAACTCACCAGAACCCACTTGGACTCAGAACCTCCCCAGGGAAACCCTTTCCCACAGTGCATGTTCTACCCCTTATCCTGCTCTTGATTTAAATGAGGTACGAATTGGGCATTTTTTTTACAGATTTTTATTTATTTATTTGACACAAAGAGAGATCGCTAGAGAAGGAATACAAGCAGGGGGAACGGGAATGGGGGAAGGAGAAGCAGACTTCCCACTGAGCAGGGAGCCCAATGTGGGGCTCAATCCTAGGACCATGGAATCAGGACCTGAGCTGAAGGCAGACGCTTAATGACTGAGCCACCCAGGTGCCACTAGCCATGTTTTTTTAAAAGCAAAAGCTTTCATATTTAGGACTATGTCTTTTGCTTTTATGTGTATTATAGATTACTGCACTGATTGTACTTTATTTAAACCATGGACTATACCATACCTTTGTATTACCTTCAACATAGTATTTTGTAAACATAAGCAGGGTGAAATTTTTCTTCGCTTCAACAATAGGTGCTCAGTTAATTTTTGTTGTTTACTTGATTGACTTTATCTCCTGTTACTAGAACTCACTGTTTTCTAAGCGTGAGTGAAAGTATATAAATCTCTTTTTATCCTCCATTTCCCTGCCAAAGACTTTAGGTATGTTTTAGTTGCAAATAGTGCTCTCTATAAGGCTATTTATTGAATCAATGACCTTAAATAAAATTGCATTCTTGCTCACAAAAGCCTCCTGGCTGCCTTTCTCCTCCAGAGTTTATTTGGTGTTCACTTTTAATTTTTCACCCATTAACAGTTATAAACTTGTGGGAGGTCATGGGCCAGTAGAATCCGTGAATGTGCCATCTGGCTGGAATTTTAGTAGGCTTACCCAGAGCAAAGGCTATATATGGTAAAAATAATAATAATATCTGATATTTATTAAATATAGTTTAAAATGTAAAAAAAAATGTTATTTCACTCATTTTTGTTTTTGTTAGCCAAAGCAGCTTGACCATTTACCCCTGCTTGCAAGGTATAGCATCTTAGCTTTCCTCTCATTTGGAAGAGGGGTATGAGAAAAATTCCCTTTTGTACAGGCAAGATTCATTTTTATATTAGGTAGTATGTGATAATAACTTTAAAAATTTTTTAATTTACTTTTTCTTGTGATATATATCAGATGTGGATTACAAAGCATAAAACGTGTATGCACTTTTTAAAGAATGATTATAACCAGTAAGAATAAGAAATAGAAATTGCCTGTACCAAAATGCTCCTTACTGGTCAACCTACTATGCTCCTTACTAGGTCACAGTTCTCTTCCTCACCTCTAGATGTAAACACTATCCTGACTTCTGTGATCATAATTTCTTTGCTTTTATGTACAGTTTTGTCAAGGTATGTGTATTTAAACAATTTAATTCAGCTCACTTTTGAACTTTATTGGAAATGGACTAATACGTATATATTTTTGTATAGTTCTGTGATTTGCTGTTTTTTGTCAGTGTTATTTGTAAGATTTATTCTTGTGTAAAGCTCTGGTTCATTTAATTTTCACTGATGTTTAGCATTCTCTACTTTGAACACATTATAATTCATGTATCTATGTTATATTTGTATGGTGTGTAGATATAATATATATGTTATATCTATATATAACCTTTAATCTTGTCCATGTCTTCTGGTGCACATATGCAAACATTTACCTAATGATAGAATTGCTGTAGGAGAGGCATATTCCTAGATAATGCTAAACTTTTTCTAAATGGTTGTGCCAGTAAGGTAGGAAAGGTTTCATTGCTTTATTTTTCCATTAATCCTGGATATTGTCAGATTTAAAAATTTTTTGCCATGAATGTATAATTTTTTGTGGACTTAATTTTTCATTTCCTTGATTACTAATGATGTTAGGCATATTTTCATACGTTTATAGTCATTTGGATTTCCTCTTAACTACCTGTTCACATCTTTTGCCTATTTTTTTCTACTAGGTTTTTTTTTTTAATTGCTTTGTAAGAGTTTTTGTTTTTAATTTTGTTTTGATACCGGTCCTTTGTTAGTTTTATGTGCTGCAAATAATCTTCTCCCATTTTGTGGCATGTCTTTTCACTTTCTTGGTGGTGTCTTTTGACACATTTTTCTTTTTTCACTGGTTGAATTTTTCAATTACTTCCTTTTAGAGTCTTTTTCTTTTGTTTAGGAAAAGTTTCACTGGCCAAAAGTTGAAGACATTCTCCTCTGTTATCTAAAAAAATTTTTTTATGGGTTTTGCTTTCCATATTTAGTTATTTAAGCCAGTTGGAACTCATTTTTGAGTGTGTGAGATAGAACGTAGGGGTCCACTTTTATTTTTATCCATATAGACCCCAGTTGTTGCAACATCATGGTTGTTGTGTTTTTGTTTTTGTTTATCTTTCTTTCTTTCTTTCTTTAAAGATTTTATTTATTTATTTTGACAGAGATCACAAGTAGGCAGAGATGCAGGCAGAGAGAGAGAGGAGGAGGCAGGTTCCCTGCTGAGCAGAGAGCCCGATGTGGGGCTCGATCCCAGGACCCTGGGACCATGACCTGAGCCGAAGGCAGAGGCTTCAACCCACTGAGCCACCCAGGCGCCCTGTTTTTCTTTTTTTAAAGATTTTATTTATTTATTTAACTGAGAGAGACAGAGAGAGGGAACACAAGCCGGGGAGGGGAGAGGGAGAAGCAGGCTTCCTTCCTGCTGAGCAGGGAGCCAGAAGTGGAGCTTGATCCTAGGACCCTGGGATCAGGACCTGAGCCAAAGGCAGACGCTTAATGACTGAGCCACCCAGGCGCCCCGCAACATCATGTTTTGAAAAGACTATCCTTTCTTTCTTGATCCAGAAAGCCACTTTGTGGGATGCCTGGCTGGCTCAGTCAGCAGAGCCTGCAAATCTTGATCTCAGGGTTGTAAGTTTGAGTTCCACAATGGGTGTAGAGATTACTACAGTAATAATAATAATTTTGCCAATAATAATAAAATTTTTCTAAAAAAGCCATTTCTAGGGACACCTAGTGGCTCAGATGGTTAAATGTCTGCCTTTGCCTTGAGTCATGATCTCGGGGTCCTGGGATCGAGCCCTGCAGTAGGGCTCCCTGCTTAGCGGGGGATCTGCTTCTCCTTTTCCCTCTGCTGCTCCCCTTGCTTGTGGTCTCTCTCTCTCTGTTGAATAAATAAGTATTTTTTTTAAAAAGCCCTTCTATCATGTATCAAAAATTTTTATATATGCTTAGGTTTGTGTGAGCTCTGTATTCTGTTTGTCTATTGCTTATCCCTATGCTAGTACCACAATATCTACACTCTAGCTTTATATTAAGTTTTGCTACGTGTAGGACAAATCTTCTTTCTCCTTTTTTATCAAGAATGTCTTGGTTGTCTTGATATTTTGTATTTCTACATCAGATATAAAGCCAGCTTGTCAATTTCCAAAGAAACTATGTTGAAATACAATTGAGATTGCATTTAATCTATATAGCAATTTAGGGAGAACTTACATTTTTGTAATCTTAGGTCTTACAATCCATGAACATAGTGTATATCTTCACTCTAGATCTTCTTTGATGTCTCTCAATGAACATTTTATAATTTTCTCTGTATGCTAACCAATACTATTTTTAGAAAAGTGGGAGTTGGGAGGGCAAAAGGGGAAGAATACTAGAAAGTGACAAAGAAGGAAAGACTTCACTGATGGGGTGAGAAGTCGAAAAACAGCATATACAATTCATACCAATATTTTTTCCTACTCTGAGTTTTCTTTCTTTTTTTTTTTTTTTAAGATTTTATTTATTTATTTGACAGAGAGAGAGAGAGAGATCACAAGTAGGCAGAGAGGCAGGCAGAGAGAGGGGGAAGCAGGCTCCCTGCTGAACAGAGCCCTATTTGGGGCTTGATTCCAGGACCCTGAGATCATGACTTGAGCCAAAGGTAGAGGCTTTAACCCATTGAGCCACCCAGGCACCCCCTACTCTGAGTTTTCATTGATGAAATAAGATAAATAAAGTCTGAGGATGTAATGTATAATGTGGTGACTATAGTTGATAACACTGTTGTATAATTGAAATTTGCTAAAAGAGTAGAACTTAAATGTTCTTACCAAAAAAAAGTAAATGTGTGTGGTGATGGAGGTGTTAACTTGGGGAAATCCTTTCACAATGTACCTATCAAATCATCACATTGCACACTTTAAATATCTTACAATTTTTTCAATAAAGAAAAGAATGAGAAAAATGCAAGTTAAACTGTATTAAGATTTTAAAAACCCATTTTTATTTTCTTTGAGTGTTAACCATATCCCTAAACACTCAGCTGATGCTCTCATTTCCTATTGTTAGAAGATGTTGGCCGTGCAGCTCGAGTACTTTTAATTTTCTATTTGTGGTGTGTTTCCCATCACAAAATTTCTTATCTCTCCATTCTTTCCTTTGTCCCTAAATCTGAGGAATGAATATGTCTATAAGGAAGAAGGTCAATGCTAATCTATCCATGAGTAGTCTTATTCCAGGATAGTTGGGATAGTTGAAATTACAGATTCCTTCCTACGTGGAGTATTCCTTTACATTCCCCACAGTTCACCAATGACAGAGACCCCAGAAAAATGATGCTCAGGTTTCTCCTAGAAAGATATAACTTAAAAATAATTGATTATTATTCTCCTAGCTACATCATTTATAAAATGAGGCTCTTGTTGCTTTGACAGATAAGGCCACTCTTTTATCTGAGCTTCTCTGACCTTCTCCTGGGGATATGCTGGCTCATTGAGGCACTTCTTTATGGAACTTCAGTAGCTAATAAGGACATTGTCTGCTATAACTTGCAAGCAGTTGGACAGGTGAGTGGTACTAGACTGTGACTGTATTTTGTAAGACAGGTATATTCAGACCTAAATAGAAAGTAAAGATAATCCACCTTGGTAAGTGGGATCCCTTTGTTTATTGTTATCCTTTGAAACAATAGCTCTTAATATTTTTCCATATTAAAAAACATGGCTTGTTGTGCTCACTTCAGCAGCACATATACTAAAAAAAACACTGCTTGTTTATTATAGAAAGTGTGGAAAATTCAGAGAAGCAAAAAGATAATTAAAATCACCTATAATCACTCACATATTATTTTATATATATTATATATCTTTCCAATCTTTTTCTCTGTACATATATGCATTTTAAAACAAATAACACATTAATACTTCGTATAATTTGCTTTTATTTTTCAACATATCATGAGTGTACTTCCATGTAATAAAACATTCTTTAACAACAGCTTTTGAGAATAATACATTTTTTTATTAAAAGAATAAGCATTGACCCTGAAAAGAAATAAAATAAAATAAAATAAAATGGAAAAAAAAAGAATAAACATTGGCTTCAATTGGGAAATACTATAGATTATCATGTATGGATTATAGATTTTTCACAGATTTTATCAGTGGATTAACCCACACAGTACCATCTGTATATGTTTCTTATATTTCTCAGACTTGCTGTGTGAAAAAGTAGAGGTTAAAATGCAATTGGTACTCACTGCTATGTGTTTCCTTTGACATTTGTTACTAGAGGGAATATTTCTTTCAATTTAGTATGAAAATAATACATGTAATTGGTGGTATGAAATCCATGTACTAATATATATTAACTATCTCATGAATTTTAGTATCATAAAAACATACTTTATTCAGTCCTAATATCTCATAAATTGAGTAACACTGTATTATATTTTCAGCTAAGGAAATAATATAGTTTTGGAAGTAAAAAAAAATCTGTATAGAATTCTGGACCCAGTTAACTTTGTAACCTTAGGCAAATACTTAATAATTTCTGAACTTTAGTCTCCTAGTCTGTAAAGTGATCGTTAATATTATTTACCTTGTGCTTGGCATAGGTATGATTAATGTTACTTTGTTTTTTTTAATAACTTTATTGAGCTATACATATAATAAATGAGATTTATTTAAAAGATTTTATTTATTTGAGAGAGGGAGAAAACATGAGCGGGGGTGGGGAGGGCAGAGGAAGAGGGAGAAGCAGAGAAGCAGAGCCCCCACTGAGCAGGGAGCCCGATGTGGGGCTCAGTCCCAGGAGCCCAAGATCATGACCCAAGCCAAAGTCAGATGCTTAACTGAACCATTCAGGTGCCCCTACACAACAATATTTAAAGTGTACAATTTTATCTTTTTTAGTATATATATACCCCTTTCAAATCATTACCACATGGGGCACCTGGGTGGCTCAGTGGGTTAAGCCTCTGCCTTCAGCTCAGGTCATGATCTCAGTGTCCTGAGATCGAGCCCCACTTTGGGCTCTCTGCTCAGTGGAGAGCCTGCTTCCCGCCCCCCCCCACCTGCTTCTCTGCCTACTTGTGAGCTCTCTCTTTCTCTCTGTTAAATAAATAAATAAAATCTTAAAAAAAGGCGCCTGGGTGGCTCAGTGGGTTAAGCCGCTGCCTTCGGCTCAGGTCATGATCTCAGGGTCCTGGGATCAAGTCCCACATTGGGCTCTCTGCTCAGCAGGGATCCTGCTTCCCTCTCTCTCTCTCTGCCTGCCTCTCTGTCTACTTGTGATCTCTCTCTGTCAAATAAATAAATAAAAATCTTTAAAAAAAAATCTTAAAAAAAAATCATTACCACAGCTAAGATAACAAACATTTCTATTTCATCACCCCCCAAAATAATTTCAAGTTTGTTTTCTTTTACCTCATGGAGCATATGAATTATAATAGTTGCTTTAAAAAATTTTTGGTTGGTGGCACCTGGATGGCTCAGTCATTAAGTGTCTGCCTTCAACTCAGGTCATGATTCCAGTCTCTCTCTGTCTCTCTCTGTCAAATAAATAAAAAAATCTTAAAAAAATTTTTTTTTGGTTGGATATTTCCAATATTTGGCCATCTCTAAGTTGGTGTTTGTTGATTGTCTTCTCCCATGATAATGGGTGACAAATTTTTGTTCTTTGTGTGTCAAGTAATTTAGGGTTTCATCTTGGACATTGTGACTGTGACATATCATAGACTTGGGGTTCTTTTGTAATTCTCTGGAGAATGCTAATGTTTTTGTTTAGCAGACAATCAACCTGATTAGGTTTAGAATGTGAATTCCTTTTTTTTTTTTTTAACAATTTTTAAAATTTATTTGAGAGAGAGAGCAGGAGTGGGGGAGGGTCAGAGAGGGAAGCAGACTCCCTATTGAGTAGGGAGCCTGATGTGGAACTTGGTCTTGGGACTCCAGGATCATGACCTGAGCTGAAGGCAGTCACTTAACCAACAGAGCCATCCAGGCGCCCTAGAATGTGAATTTCATTTCATCATTTTTAGGTTTAAGTTCTCTATGCCTAGTTCTCTAAGCCTTAGCTATGCTTGTTTTGGGCTGTCATGTGCGTGCATAGTGCAGTGGTTAGGTTGAGGCTTATATGGCATCATACACAGAATTAGGACATCTGCTTTTCTTGCTCTGTCACTTTTGGGTTTCCACCTACACTTTCCTGCCTGAAATGGGACATTCTTTGGTTTATGTGGCCTAGAATATAAGTTTCTGTTAGGGTTTCAGGGGCCTTCATTGAGAGGCATTATGATTGGGATGTACACTTGAGGAAAAGCTATAAGAGAGCAAGAGAGAAAGGTTTGGGAAACTTACTTTTGTGCAGTTTGCTTCTCTGTATTTGATTCCTTTGTTTGATTTTTACTTTTCAGTCTTCAAGCAGTTAATTTTTATATTTTCTGAGAGTTTTTGTTTGTAATCAATGGGAGGGATGGGCTGAAGAGGGCTAAAACACACTAGCTTATTTAGTTATTCTTATTTATTTAGTGAGAGAGAAAGCGCATGTGAGTGGGGGAGGGGCAGAGGGAGAGAGAATCTTTTTTTTTTTTTTTATAGATTTTATTTCTTTATTTGAGAGAGAGCACAAACAGAGGGAGAGGGCAGAGGGAGAGGGAGAAGCAGACTCTCTGCTGAGCAGGGAGCTGGATGTGGGGCTCAATCCTAGGTCCCAAAGATCATGACATGAACTGAAGGCAGTTACTTAACCAGCTGAGCCACCCAGGTGCCTGGAGAGAGAGAATCTTAAGCAGTCTCCATGCTCAGCTTGAGCCTGATGCAGGGCTCCATCTCATGACCCTGAGATCATGACCTGAGCTGAAACCAAGAGCCCATGCTTAACCAACCCAGCCACCCAGGCACCCCTAGCTTTTTTTAAATTGTGGTAAAGTGCATATCATAAGACCATTTTAATCATTAAATTTTTTTAAAAATTGGGTTAAAAACATGTAACAAAATTTACATCCCGACATTTTTAAATGTACAGTTTAGGGACACCTGGGTGGCTCAGACAGTTAAGCATCTGCCTTCGGCTCAGGTTATGATCCCAGGGTCCTGGGATAGAGCCCCACCCACATCTTGCTCCTTGCTCCTTGCTCAGCAGGGAGTCTGCTTCTCCCTCTCCCTCTGCCCTGCTTATGCTCTCTCTGTCTCTCAAATAAATAAATAAAATCTTTAAAAAAAGTCAATGATATTAGTGATGTTAAATATCTTGTGTGCTTATTGACCACTTTTATATCTATTGTGAAGAAATGTTTATTCAAGTTCTTTGTCCATTTTTTAATTTGTTGTTGATTCATAGGGCTTCTTTATGTATTATGAATATTAATTCCTTTTCAAATATATGATTTACAAATATTTTCTCCCATTCTTTCATAGGTTGCCCTTTCACTCTGTAGATTATGTCTTTTAATGCACAGAAATGTTTAATTTTTTTTTTTAAGATTTTATTTATTTATTTGACAGAGAGAGATCACAAGTAGGCAGAGAGGCAGGCAGAGAGAGAGGGAAGCAGGCTCCCCATAGAGCAGAGAGCCCGATGCAGGGCTCGATCCCAGGACCCTGAGATCATGACCTGAGCCGAAGGCAGAGGCTTTAACCCACTGAGCCACCCAGGCGCCCCAGAAATGTTTAATTTTGATGTAGTCCAATATATTGTTTCTTTTGTTGCCCGTGCTTTTGATTTTGTATTCAGGAAATCATTGCCAAGCCCAGGGTCATGAAGCTTTTCCCCTATGTCTTCTGCTAGGAGTTTTATAGTTTTACCTCTTAGGTTTAAGTCTTTGATCTATTTTAAACTAATTTTTGTATATAGTGTAAGGGTCCAGCTTCATTCATGTGCATGTGGATATTCAGTATTTTATTTTTTTTTTAATATTTATTTATTTATTTGACAGAAAGAAAGAGACACAGCAAGAGAAGGAGCACAAGCAGGGGGAGTGAGAGAGGGAGAAGCAGGCTCCCCACCGAGCAGGGAGCCTGATAAGGGGCTTGATCCCAGGACCCTGGGATTATGACTTGAGCTGAAGGCAGAGGCTTAACCCACTGAGTCACCCAGGTGCCCGATATTCAGTATTTTAAATACCATTTGCTAAAAAGACTGTCCTTTCCTCACTAAATGGTCTTGCCACTCTTGTTTAAAATCATATGACTTACATGTGACATTTTATTCCAGGCTCTCTATTCTATCTGTTATTTCTATTTGTCTGTCTTTAAGGCAGTATCACACTGTTTCAATTACTGTTATTTTGTACTAAGTTTTGAAACTGGGAAGTGGGAGTCCTCCAACTTTGTTCTTTTTAAAGATTATTTTTAAATCTTTTTAAAGATTATTTTAGGCATCAAAAAAAAAATCTTGCCATTTGCAACAAAGTGGATGGAACTAGAGGGTATTATACTAAGTGAAATAAGTCAATCAGAGAAAGACAATTATATGATCTCACTGATATATGGAATTTAAGAAACAAAACAGAGGGGGCGCCTGGGTGGCTCAGTGGGTTAAGCCGCTGCCTTCGGCTCAGGTCATG